CCCAACTGTCTCTGTATGAGGCTGCGAATCACGCCCAGGGCCTGCATTCTTTGGAAAGGCCCGGTAGGCCGTGGAAATGTCTTCGGTACTCGGCCTGTGTTTCTTTCAACCAACTGGCGCGTCGCAACTGCCTGGACCCCAAATATGAAATTGACAGATGAGGGCCTCTTGCAAAAAGCCAGGCCCGCCTTCACTTAGGGCGGGTAAGGCTGCAGACAGGGCCCCGTAGGCCTACCGAGGACACTGATCCTCGCAACATGCACAAACGACAAAAAATATGGCGATGTATCTTTCCATGTTCTAGTGAAAGATTCATGCACAAATTAGAGAGTAGTCGAGTGAGGCCCTATGACAACTTACCTGCCGCCAGAATCCGTAGGGCCTCTCACAACTACACAAGTCCGTTGTAGTGCCTGTCACATGAGGGCTGCAAGTAAGCTTCAAGTCCAGCTGTAGTCCGGGCCTCGCTCCACTACTCATGCACAAAAGACAAAAAATATGGCGGTGTATCTTTCCATGTTCTAGCGGAAGATTCATTCTCATTTTGAACATTTGGAGAGTGGTGGAGCGAGGCCCAAGGCTACCGTTGTATGGCCCTCGCTCCACCACTCTCTAAATGTGCAAAATGAGAATGAATCTTCCGCTAGAACATGGAAAGATACACCGCCATATTTTGGTTTTTTGTGCATGTGGAGAGCAGTGGAGCGAGGCCCTGTCAGTAAACAGGCTGTAACTGTTTCCCAAATAAGAGAAAAACAAATAAGAAAAAAAAAAGGAAAAGCAATGGGCCTATCGGGCTGAACAAAACGCCCTCTGTCGAGAATCCATAGTGTCTGTTGATACAGGCATTTTGTTCGGTCCGATAATGTCAGGAGAATGGTGTCGTGGCAGAGCAGACAAACGCCTGTTTTAACGGCACACACACACACACACACACAAAAAAAAAAAAAAAGCACATCCGCAGATGCGCTGGCATGGGGGTCACTTGGCCGCACTCCAGCGCACTGCCTGTGCGCGCTCAGTGCGCACAGGCGCACACATCACCCGTGAACGCATGGCGCACGGCGCACCGCTTAAGTGCTCCGCAAGTATGTTCCATGCCCATTCTGCTGGGTCTACTTCTAAATTTTATAGCGCTGTTTGTGGATTGTTAAGGGTTAGTTCGTCATTTTTTTATTTTTTTATTTTTTTTAAACAAAAACAGGGCCTTATGGTCCTGGCTGCTTCTATTCTGGGGAGCGTCAGTCCGGTTCCTATTCCACCGGCAAGTCAAAATATACATTACATCAAGAACACTCACACACGCTTCCTTCCGTCAGGCCGAAGGATCCCTGAACAACATTGATTGCTCCACCGCGGTGGAGGATTGACTGTCAGCTTGCCCTATCCCTCTCTTTCCTCTCAGACCTGGAGTCCAGGTCTGCCAGATAGCGCCATTGTCCCTAGAAAGAGCTCATTCGTTATCCTTGCTGACCTGTTTCCTCCACACACACCTCCCTGCCCCTTTGGAAGATCTACGATAAAACCCTAAACCCTAAACCCCTCGCCTGTGCGCCCAACCTCCAATAGTCGATCTTGGACATTGGCAGGC